CCTCGCTCTAGCTTAAGCTTTGACGTTGCTCAAGTGCCGGTACTTGAAATGCTGTCGTTTATTTGGACTACATTATCGTTGACGAGGTTATCGCTGGGTCTAACATGCAATTTGCGTCCATGACATAGAAATATTTTAATTTGTTTCAAAATGACGATCAAAATTTATTGTCTTCTTAACGTGTGGTAGCATTATTCCACTGAACGATATACATGTGCATCTATAGGGATTCTCAGCAGGAGTCCGGTTGATTTTAAGTTAGCATGAGACCCCCCTGGATAGCCTCAAGTCCCAGGATATCCTCCAGTCCCAGGATATCCTCCAGTCCCAGGATATTCTCCAGTCTCAGGAAATCCTCCTCTCCCGGTATATCCTCCTATTCCGGGATATACTCCGATCACGGGATATCCTCCAACCCCGGCATATACTCCAATCCCAGGAAATCCTCCAATCCCAGGATATTCTCCAGTCCCGGGAAATACCCTAATCCCGGGATATCCTCCAAACCCGGGATATCCTCCAATCCCAGGAAATCCTCCAATCCCAGGAAATCCTCCAATCCCAGGAAATCCAATCCCAGGAAATCCTCCAATCCCGGGATATCCTCCAATCCCAGGAAATCCTCCAATCCCAGGAAATCCTCCAATCCCAGGAAATCCTCCAATCCCAGGAAATCCTCCAATCCCGGGATATCCTCCAATCCAAGGAAATCCTCCAATCCCAGGAAATCCTCCAATCCCTGGAAATCCTCCAATCCCGGGATATTCAAGGAAATACCGGGAACAATCTTTGTTTAATTTACTTATTTTTTGCAACGTCCCAAGCTTAAAGCCTTTAATACAGTGGTTTTTAACCTTGTTGGAGGTATCGAACCCCACCAGTTTCATATGCGCATTCACCGAACCCTTCTTATTAGGAAAAATAAAATATATTTTTTTTTCTGATTTTTTTTTTTTTTTGGACCTTCGCCGAACCCCTGAGACTTACTCACCGAAGCCCTGGGGTTCGATCGAACCCACGTTTAGAACCACTGCTTTAATAACACGGTATTAAACTACCTTCACATCAATAGCAAAATATATTTTTTTTTTTGATTTTTTTTTTTTTTTTTTGGACCTTCGCCGAACCCCTGAGACTGACTCACCGAAGCCCTGGGGTTCGATCGAACCCAGGTTAAGAACCACTGCTTTAATAACACGGTATTAAACTACCTTCACATCAATAGCGAGGTACGTAAATTTAATACAGTTCTTTCCAAGTGTGAAACATGCGCAATCTGTTCTCAAATTATATTTCAGCACAAAGGCGGGACTTTAAACATTATACCAATGCCTATCTCTACGCTAAAAGTAGATGTAGATGAGGAAATTAAACATTATACCAATGCCTATCTCTACGCTAAATTTCCTCATCTACATCGGCGGCTACAAGTAGTCCACGTCTCATCAATCATTATTTTAAATCGAACGCGTTTTTCTTTAACTGGGCTAATTTAGTAACACACTTTCCTGAATAATAGAGTTATAAATTAAAATTTAAAAAAATAAGTATCCTATGTTTACTACCCTTCCAACTTTCGTTTCTCTTTTCAACATCAGAATTTATATATATATATATTTTTTTAAATCTGGCCACACCTATTAGAACTCATTTGTTTTTAAATTTATCTTTTCTACATGAGAATCCAGTAGAAAGCTTTTTTTTTAAAACTGTTGGTTTTGTTGTTGTTTTTTTTTTTTTTTTTTTTTTTTTTTTGGTTTTTTATTTTTATTTTTTTTTTATTCTTTTTTTTTTTTTTTTTTTTTTTTTTTTTTTTTTTTTTTTTTTGGCGAATTAACATTACGATTATCATTGGCACAAGAGATTGCTCAGAACAGTGATAGGATGCAGAGGCTTGCCTTGAATAATTGTCGTCAACGGGTGCCCCACCAACAAATTATAATAATCTTCTATCCAGTATGTCATCACCGCTAAAAAGAAGGGGAGATACTTGATATCACACTATTAAAATTTTGTCCCTAAATTATTATTATCATTTTTTTCACCCTTTGATTTAAACGAAGTGACATTTTACTCCTTAGTATTTAATTCTTTTAAGGATGATACGGTATGATTTGAATTGAGCTAACCCAGTGGTCGGCAAACTCATTAGTGAAAACAAGCCAAAAATCAGAAGCAGGGCGATTCTTTAAAAATTTGAGAGCCGAATTTCTTTTCAAGAACCTGTCAAGAGCCATGATTTTCGGAGTCAAACCGATTTGTGGCCGACTGGCCGAGCCGCGCTCAAGTCGCCAAAGTGCCGCATGCGGCTCGCGAGCCGCGATTTGTCGACCACTTGCTAACAGATAGTTATTTTGAGATATAGCAGTCTCTATATTATGGTCTCCTGTGTGTGACATCCAGACCACATCCTAAAGATCGTTTGTCAACTACATAGATATAATATATTCTGCCAAACTAAAGGAACATCATGTTTGTGTAAAGTCATGACATTCCCTAACCTATCATCAAGTAAGCTTATTTTTTTCAAACTATTTAGTTGTTTAAACTCATGCATTTATATATATTTATGTGTTGGTTTTTTTTCATCTTGCCACCTTGCCTAGTTGATGGGGCGGTGGGTCGAAGACCCCCGGAAACATTTCTGTCTGCGTTTTATTTACGAAATTCTATAATAGATGTGCCTAGGGGCGCAATTATTCGGATTGCGCCCCAACGAGATTTAGTTATTGTAGGCCACTGGGTTTCACATCTCAGCTACTGCCCCATCCCTGGGCGTAACGTAGGTTGGTATAGTCCCCGGGGTGACTTGTGTGAATTGAGTTAGAGCCACCTAGGGCGACACACGATTTTAACCTCCTTTCTTCCAAATAACAAAAACACCAGTTAGCCGAATTCGCGACCGCTCAGTACAAAGAAAAATAAGAGTTGGACCCCCCACCCCCTCCTCCTCCCTACTCTCAATGCTACTCTACTAGACGCTTTCTTAATTCAGAAAACGAATAAATTATTTTTTTTAATTTTTTTTTTCCTTTAAGAAATAAGAGCTTGTCAGTATTGGCGATGTTTGTTGTGTGTTCATGTATCTAAATAAAGTGGAGCTTGCAGAACGTGCATTTGTGAATAATATCTAACAAGCAGACGACACGAAATAATCATAAGCCGGGGTCCATGTGTGGTCGAGATGAGGTCAGGAGATTTTGTGGAAGTTCTCGTCAATGGTATGAGAATCGCTGTTGTTAGTATGGACTATGTTTGGGTCCAGTGAGTTGTTGTCATGAGAGTCATTATTGTGTCTGAACGACCATTGGATGACAGGAATAGAAGAATAAACAAGTGTGTGGACACAAGGCGTGAGATAGAGATGGAGAGAGAGAGAGAGAGAGATGAGAGAGATTATTAAGGAGATAGTCATAAGACGTTCGTGAGTGATGGCTCCTGTGTTTTGGATAGACCGTTTAGTTATGATGAGAGACTGTAACCAGGTGAATCTGTGTGACCGTGTAGTTATGAGGAGATACTGTAACCAGGTGAATCTGTGTAACCGTGTAGTTATGAGGAGAGACTGTAACCAGGTGAAGTTATAAAATGATATTGTATCCAGGTGAATCTGTGTGACCGTGAAGTTATAAGGTGATATTGTATCCAGGTGAATCTGTGTGACCGTGTAGTTATGAGGAGATAACTGTAACCAGGTGAATGTGTGTGACCGTGAAGTTATAAGGTGATATTGTATCCAGGTGAATCTGTGTGACTGTGTAGTAATGAGGAGATACTGTAACCAGGTGATTCTGTGTGACTGTGTAGTTATGAGGAGATACTGTAACCAGGTGAATCTGTGTTACCGTGTAGTTATGAGGAGAGACTGTAACCAGGTGAATCTGTGTGACCGTGAAGTTATAAGGTGATATGGTATCGAGGTGAATCTGTGTGACCGTTTAGTTATGAGGAGAGACTGTAACCAGGTGAATCTGTGTGACCGTGAAGTTATAAGGTGATATTGTTTCCAGGTGAATCTGTGTTGCCGTGTAGTTATGAGGAGAGACTGTAACCAGGTGAATCTGTGTGACCGTGTAGTTATGAGGAGAGACTGTAACCAGGTGAATCTGTGTGACCGTGAAGTTATAAGGTGATATTGTATCCAGGTGAATCTGTGTGACCGTGTAGTTATGAGGAGATACTTAAACCAGGTGATTCTGTGTGACTGTGTAGTTATGAGGAGATACTGTAACCAGGTGAATCTGTGTTACCGTGTAATTATGAGGAGATACTGTAACCAGGTGATTCTGTGTGACTGTGTAGTTATGAGGAGATACTGTAACCAGGTGAATCTGTGTGACAGGTACACGTCATAAAGTAGAACCCTAGTCATTCATAAAGTGTCTCTGTTCCAATATTCGGTGTGCCTGGTTGTTCGTTGATAGACAATATTGTAGAGTACCATCGACAAACTTGGCCATTGATAGACAGTGTTGCTGAGTTATAACGAAAACTTGGCCATTTATTGATAGTGTTGTAGAGTACCATCGATAAACTTTGCCATTGATAGACAGTGTCACAGAGTTATAACGACAAACTTGGCCATTTATTGACAGTGTTGTAGAGTACCATTGACACACGCTACCAGAAAATACTGGAAGATGCTCGACTAGAGTGATGGAGTATTTTAACATCCTTACAATGTTAGCCGGGCTCGGTGAGCTAGTTCTGAGTATATGACAAGGAAAAAGATGGATATTGTGCGCTAGTGATTGTGTTCCATGGGATGCTTCTAAAGGTAACGTCATGGTCTTGTCGTATGGACTTTTATGGGGAAAGGGCGTTTATTGAATGTGTTGGTGATTGACAGATTATCGAGTAACATTGTTTTGATTCTAAATGTAAGTAAATTTTAAACATACTTTTTTTTTTTCACGTGCGCACTAATGGTGTTTGAAAATCCGATTGATGTTAAAACTAACACTTTTTCGAGCATGTTGGGCACTTTTTCCAATTTAAAATTCAAATTCTGTTTTCAAGGAGAGGAAATTTTACCGGAAAATTATTTAAAGAATATAATTTCAAAACATTTACACTACTGTGGAAGTAAGAATGCATTTGTTAACTACTGTTAATGTATTGAAAAGAATTATTTCATTATTTCGTACGTGTTACATTTATTCGGCATTATCCCAAGGGCACAATGACACATATTTAATGCTATCCATAATGATAACATGTATGGCGTCCTGCCGTTTTCGCGAGACGATGGAGTAGCTGTTGACACTAATTACTATATCAAATGGCTTGCGAGGCCCATTCTGGAATTGCGGTCTCGGCTGCACATTTCGCGTGAGAACCTTGACACCCCCCCCCCCCCCCCCCCCCCCCCCCCCCCCTCTTCCCCTTTCCTTTTTTTTTTTTTTTTTTGTTTTTTTTTCTTTCTTTTTTTTTTTTTTTTTTTCCCCCCCCCCCACCATGCCCCACCCACCCCTTATTTCCCTGTGAATTTGTTTTGGCTGCAAAGGTTTCGTTTCACGCATCTTTTTTTTTTCTTTACTTCCCTTGCTTTACAAAAAAAAACAAAAAAAAAAATCTCCTACTCTGGGCAAAGACATATAATACTAGAATATCACGTACAACAGTCGAGTCTAATTTTAGATTGACAGATATGGTGACGAAGCTATTGACGGTGTCAAATGAGTTTTCTGTCTTATTCTGGCCTTCTCTTGGTTTGTTTTTTTTTCCTTTTCAGATACGTTTAGAACTTAATGAGCAGTAGTCACCACCAGGGCTGCCACACCTTGTGAAATTTCCCAATATCTTGGGAATTCACTACCCCATCCAGGACAAAAACTCACTTTTTAAAAAAAAATCCCCAAGATAATTTCCCTTTAAAAAAAAAACTCATATATTATCATGATCTTGGGAAATCTTGGGAAATATTTTGACCAAATCTTGGGAATTAAAAAAAAATTCCGTGGCAGCCCTGGTCATCACCGGCCCTCAAACCCATCCCAAAACAAAAAATAGCCTTTAAATAGTTTAAAGCGTAAACATAAATTATCACTTCTTGGATTTTATGGTTGTTTCACGATGGCATCTGTACTTTGACATGTCGAGTCAGTAAGCCAAAAATATTTTGTCAGATTAGGTCACTTTCACGTTAACATACGTTGTTGTTGTTTTTTTTGCCCCCCATAGGTAAATTACTAGCCAAGTCCGTTCGAGCAACGCTAAAAAAATGTCTAAAATTAGCAAGCTGTCCGTGTATGTGCCCAACATGTCCGAGGCTGAGCTCCTGGCAGAACTCTTCGATTCCATCGGCGAGGGCAAGACCGAGTATGTCCGGCTTCTGCTGACCTACGCTAAGGAAACCGTGCAACTGCTGAAGAAGAAAGATCCGGTAATCGGCTGCCGGTGATTCTGGGATTTGCCTCAAACTCAAAGAAATTCACTGCTTTGTCCCCCCCCCCCAATCCTTCTCCCGCTTGCAACCCCACCCCCCACCCCATGCAGAGGCGTAGCGAGGGGGCAGGGGGGACAGATGTCGCCGGGCGCCAGCTAGTTAGGGGCGCCAAAATTAACCCTTCTCCCGCTTGCAACCCCACCCCCCACCCCATGCAGAGGCGTAGCGAGGGGGCAGGGGGGACAGATGTCGCCGGGCGCCAGCTAGTTAGGGGCGCCAAAATGAGCTTTGGTATTATTTTATTGATGAAAATAATGGGCTTGAGAGTTGGAAAAAAGAAAAAGGGGGCGCTTTAAAATGGAGCTTGTCCCCGGGCGCGAATCTTGTCCCCGGGCGCCAAACACCTCGCTGCGCCTCTGCCCCCATGCTCTCACTCTGTCCCCATGCTCTCACTCTGTCCCCATGCTCTCACTCTGTCTTCATTGTCAAGCTTTCCTACCCTTTCTGCAATTCTCTCTACTGTATATTGTTTCTTTAAATTTACACTTTCGTTAATACTTGTCAAAACGAGACGATTTAGTTTGTTGTTTTTTTTAAATTAATAACAAAGCGGTTCATTGACAAAAATAACGTAACTCGTTTTCTTAAAAGAGAACTCCAGTCTTTCGCCAGATATAACCGGTTTTCTCATGGGAGTGTGAACCTGATGATACCGCAGATGGTGGAAGCTGTGGTGGAGCTATTTTCAGAAATGTATTTTGACACAAAATTCAAACTTTAGTACCGCGTCCAGTGTTTGCATGATGGCCACAACATCGGCCACCTAAGTGCCCCCCCCCACGTGGGGTATTAAGGGCTTATTCATCTACGCAAGCAAAATCCTACCATCTCACCATTTATTAGTTTTTAAACAGCAGTCTTCTCGTCCTTTCAGCAAGGCCTGACACCGCTCAGAAAAGCCATAACTCTAAGCAAGCCGGAGATAGCCCGTATATTAGTGTACCATGGAGCTGAGCCGAGCGTTCGAGACCCTGTGAGTACATGACGACAGGAACAATTAGACATGGACAATGCACTCTTTAGAAATAAATTACATTATTTTGCACTTTGTACCCTCCATTTTCAACCAGTTGTTGCAGTCACTTGCATATCTGTAGGACTTCGGAATATGCAAAGCGCCTTAAGGTTAATGTGCTCAAATGGTCTGATAGTATTTATTTATTTATTTAGGCATTTTTATATAGCGCTTACCTTACAGCTCTAAGCGCTTTACAATTATTAAAAACATGTATTAGACTGGTGTTGGGAACATCATAAAATTGTATGGGGCGTGGCTGTTTAACTAAAAATAAAACATATCATTTCAAATAAACATTTTTCTTTAAAAGTAGTTTTCAAAAGTGCTGACCTCCCTCTATCCATATGTTTATTGACGTCACATAGGTATAGAGTGAGCAGCACTCCGTAGTCTTGCAGGAAAACCCAGATGTGCTAATTTCAGGACTCGCATAAGTCGTGCAGAGAAAAATTAATCATTTAATTAAACAATTAAATGGACGCAAACTATTATATTGATTTAATGATTTGTGAGTAGGTAAATAATATGTTAAAATAGCTTACGAGTTGTTTTTTTTGCGGTGAAGGGGTATTTCAGCAACACGTGTCAGGCTCAGTTTGAGATGTCGAGGATAAGAGCTCGTTCTTTCAGGGGTGAGCAACACATGCCATGCAGACTTTAAGATGTCACATTTAGAAGTTAACCCTTGCAGGCATGAGCAACACATGGCATGCAGACTTTAAGATGTCGCATTTATTAGAGGTTAACCCTTCCGGGCATGAGCAACACATGGCATGCACCCTTTAACAAGTCACGTATGAAAGTTTATCCTTGCAGGCTGGCAGGACGCCCCTGCACATAGCTGTCATGCAGGGACGACGTGATCTGATAGCGCCACTGCTGGTGTCACGTGACAGCTGTGTCAATGTCCAGGACGCGGTAAGCAAAACGTTTTTTTTAAAAAACAAATAAATAAATAAATAGAGGTGAATTCGTGATGGATTAGGTTGTGATGGGGTATTGAACCATTGGAACCTCAGACAGTTTGAACGTTGGAACCTCAGACAATTTGAACGTTGGAACCTGAGACAGTTTGAAAATTTGAACCTGAGACAGTTTGAACATTGGAGCCTGAGACAGTTTGAACATTGGAACCTGAGACAGTAAGAACACTTGAACCTTAGACATTTTGAACATTGGAACCCGGGACAGTTTGAAAATTGGAACCTGAGACAGTTTGAGCATCGGAATCTGAGACAGATTGAGCATTGGAGCCTGAGACAGTTTGAAAATTGGAAATTTAATATTTTTTTTTAACTGGTTAATGTTTTTTTTGTTTTTGTTTTTTTTTTTTTATGTTTAACCTGGATGGACATATCAATGAACAAGGAATCTTAATGTATCCAAGTGTCTTGCATATAATAGCTAACACGACATCCTAAGCTGTAAGAATATAAACTCTACTTCCGATCATTGAGTGCAGCAGTTTAAAAAAAATAAACAAAGAAATCGTACACAAAATAATGTCATTTTTTAAAATGTGATTGTATTTTGTTACGTTACAAATCTTGTGCCGAATGTCACACTTAACACCCGAGTCTCACGTGCACACGTTGTTGACACGCTTCCTTAACTTTAAATAGTAGGAATATAAAAGAAACGAATAGATTTGTTTAACTTTATAGAACGGTTGGACGCCACTGCATTTTGCGGTGAGAGGCAAGCATGTCAAGGCCATCAACTGGTTGCTATACGCAGGGGCTGATGTCAACCTCAAAAATAAGGTAAGTCGCCAACAATCATCTTCTCATTTTTTTTAATATTATAATTTGTCCTCCCATTAAAGCGTTTTATTTTCAGATCGCATTCCAACGACAATTGGCAAATTTTCATTTATTATCATTTTTTTTTCTTTTTTATAAAGCACGAATGTACAGATCATGTCTGTCAAATATATTACGTGAAACGCGCCGAATTTTGGCCACGCCACAAAATACTTTTTAACGCTTTAAACCCGAATTTTAAGACGTTTCCTTAAAATCTGTAGGAAGATAAAACTCCCATAGAGATTTGTGACGAGGACGATCCCATCAAAGAGATGCTGGAAGCTCACCTCCACTCTCTCGACGACGGCCCGTAAGTAAAACTAACCAGCACATAACATGGACTAAATCGGGACTAATTTTTTTTTTAAAAACAAAAGAGCTGTACGAGTTTTACTTTAAGAATTACCACACACACACACAAAAGCAAATAGTAGACGTGAAAGATGTGCATACTTTATCAGAGCAGTTTGGCGAAAAAAAAAAGTGTCATTCGATATGGAGCGACGGCTAAGTAGAGGAAAGTGCCTTGTTGTTGGGGGTTCTCAAACAGTTTAACAAAGAACGCAAACTACTTTTGTTCATGAATGTTCTTGGCAGCACATACTTCTACTATATGAGCGCAGCCAGGCTATTTAGTTTAAACAATAAGAAATGTACGCATCCTTAATTTTGCAATTTCAAAATTGTCGGCTCTAAACTAGAAATTTGATTAAAACCCTACCTAAAATTCTTGAATATATTAAAATAACCAAGTTCGTGTTTGGATGAACTATAAATGGTTTTTAAAAAGATAGAGACTTTTTAATTGGTTACAGAAAAAAAAAAAAAAGAATTTCGTCAAATCTTTGGTGAGGTTGATCTTTATTTGCATAAACCAACATTAGTTAATCGAAAATTTTCAGCGGGCGTACAACATTTAGATCACACAAGTTTTAATCTCCAACAGTCCCTCAAGTGTTCTCATTCCGTCATTATATCTCTTCATGTAATCCTTACATCCTCTGTCTTGATCATTACATCCTCTGTCTTGAGACTTACGGAAAGCGCACTTTCGCATTTGCTGACCCTACAATTTGGAACGCCCTTCCTGTCGCTCTCAGAAATAACCAGACACTGGAGTCCTTTAAAACTGATTTAAAGACCCATCTATTTCGCAAAAACCTTCTAGGATGATGTAGTCTACCATATTTTCCAGTTAAGGCACATTGGCTGTGTTGCTTATGGTTGAAATGGCTAGAAAGACTTTGACTTGGTATGCTTGTAATTAGATTTTGTAGTGTTGCGTTTGTTTTAAATGTGGTAAATTATAGATTTTTAAACATGGGTGACTTTGTACCGCGCTTCGAGCCTTTGGGGATGAAGCGTGTTTTTCAAATAAACTTTATTATTATTATTATTATAATTACATACTCTGTCTTGATCATTACACCCTTTGTCTTGATCATTACATCCTCTGTCTTGATCATTGCATCCTCTGTCTTGATCATTACATCCTATCACTTGACCATCACATCTCTTCACTTGACCATTACATCTCTTCATTTGATCATCACATTCTCTCACTTGACCATCACATCTCTTCATTTGACCATCAAAACTCTTCATTTGACCATCCGATATTCTCACTTGACCACCACATTTCTTCATTTGACCATCACATCTCTTCATTTGACCATCACATCTCTTCATTTGACCATAACATTTCTTCATTTGACCATCACATTTCTTCATTTTACCATCACAACTTTTCATTTGACCACCACATCTCCTTAATTGACCATCACAGCTCTTCATTTGATGATCACATCCTCTCACTTGAACACCACATTTCTTCATTTGACCACCACATCTCTTCATTTGACCATTACATCTCTTCATTTGATCATCACATCCTCTCACTTGACCATCACATCTCTTCATTTGACCATCAAAACTCTTCATTTGACCATCCGATATTCTCACTTGACCACCACATTTCTTCATTTGACCATCACATCTCTTCATTTGACCATTACATCTCTTCATTTGACCATCATATATCTTCATTTGACCATCACACCCTCTCACTTGACCATCACGTCTCTTCACTTGACCATCACATCTCTCCATGCCATCTTCTCCCAAGCCTGGACCTGTGCAGCGCATTCATTGGTCGCAAGCAGTTGAACCAGATCGGGCCGGACGGTCTGCTCATGTTCGTGACGTCCAGCATCTGGTCAGAGAAGATGCAGTTCATCTTCTGCATCAGGATCAGGCCGTATCGGGCCCTGCCGCCCATACCGTTACGCCAGGATGAGCAGTTCTACAGTGATGTCTGGCATTACAGGTGGGCTTTAGAAGGCATTTAAGGTGAACTGTAGAATACGTTGAATGGTGAGCTTTATAATACATTATATTATGTGAGCTGCAGAATGCATTACAAGTGAGCTTTAGAATACATTACAGATTAACTTAAGATTACAATATATAGTAGCTTGAGAATGCATTTTATGTTAGCTTAAGAATATATTTTTATTAGCTTTAAAATACATTTTATTTAGCTTATAATACATTATATATTAGCTTTAGAATGCATTACAGGTGAGTTTTAGAGTATATTATAGATGATTTTTTTAGAAGACATTACAGGTGACCTTTGGAATACAGTAAGAAGGTTGATGTTCTAATCGATTTCTTTAAAGTTGCTTTCAAAACCATACATGAGAACCAAGAGTAATGTCATAAGCACATTCTTATGGACAACCTGTACATTATTTTATTTTATTTGATGCCTATTTATTATCTTACAAACATTATCTCCCTACTGGTCTGGCACGCCACGAAGAGACAAACCCCATGTGACACCGCCGAGTCACCTCGGTGGTGCTGAACTTTGACCTAGAGGATTTTGGTCGCTTCACTGTCAGAGCCAACCAAACACATTAGAGCCTATATAAAAACTGAATTTTTCGTTTGATTGTCAGATCAAACAAAACTCGTTGAGCCAAAATAAATATAAAGAATGTTCATTGGTCGTCTGTGGTATCGATCACTAGTGACACATCCATGCATAACTTTTCATGAGAACATCAGTTTTATGATAACACTTCAAAACCATCTACAGGATGATGCGAAGGCTGAACAGGAAAGAGACGAGAGTTAAGGCCTACTTTCGAATGTTCGAAGAACTGTATAACACCGAGGTGGTTCTCAAGATAACTTCGAAAACAAGATTTTTGGGAGAGGTTCCCGTAACTCTTTCCAAGTACACTCAATTTGTAAGTTATTGCCCCTGTGTTACATAATTTCTTAAATATCATTATCAGAACACTTTTTTTTTTAATGGAGAGAAAAGAAATTGTAGGGGTCAACTATTTGGTAGCTTCGACATTCAAAAAGTTGTAGTAGCAGCAAATCTCCTTTCATTCATGCTTCGATAATATTTCTCCTCCAGAACTACACCAGCTACCTGGCTTGCGCAGAGCTGGACCTGAAAGACGAAGGTCAGTTCGTCATGGTCAAACGCACGAGACCCGGCCTGCTGCTCAAAGATGACGATGGGGTCTACTCCCACAAGCGCTTTCCCAACTTCAAGTTTAACCTGCCAGACGTGAGTAATCCTGTAGCTGGAGATTTTTGCCGTTAGAGGTTTAATAGCTTTACTCGAAAATGCACACTCACTGCAATGAAAACTAATTAGCACTAGACGCCGAACAATGGCGGACGCAGTGCGTGGACTTCCCATCAACTAACTTCACTTGACAAAACATGCAGTGAAGTAACCTTTATAAGATTCCCAGTCAGTGCTACCCACGTCGGTACGCCACCGCCCCTTGAACTTTATTAAAATTATAATTTCCCACCCCTTTAATACCGCAGATTTATATCACGATATTAAAATTGAGACTGTTTCGGTAAAACACATGAAAATGTTACGCACCAAACGCACTTGTCATATTTTAATAATCTCATTTAGTGCAGTTAGCGGGAATTTTATTTAGTGAAATCGGTGGCATCTGGTAGGTTTTGTGTTATGGCTACATAGAGCATTGTTTATTTTGATAATTACTTTGTTTTTTTTTAATAATTTTTTTATTTATTTATTTATTATTTTTGAAAAATTATATTTTATAGTATATTACTTGAAAAATATTTTAAAAGATTATATACATTTTTTAAAAGAAATTATGTGAAAAATATTTAATGTCTCTGTGTATACCTTTTTTTTGGCATAGTCGTCTGTTTTGTGAGACGATGGTCCCATAGCTTCTGTTGTTTGTTTTTTACACACATTTTCGTTACTTACATGTCACTGACCTCTATGTAGCGCAGTAAAAGAATTATGTCAACATTTAATGGAAATAATTGAAAAATAATTGAAAAATAATTGAAAACAATCTTTTTATGTTGAAGGAAACGCACACGAAAAACAAATATTCCATTTTTTTTTCAAAACAAAGTTTGAAAATACATTTAATTACATTTTAATACATTTAAAAACGTCCTTTCCTTAACTAATTAAAATAAAATCTTCTATTAACCCCCACCCACCCGAAAGAATGTGTGGTGTACGGCTATTGTAGTTAGATGTGTTTGGACTTCATAACTGATTGTTTTTTTGCCTGGTCTTTTATACCACAAGGGGTCGTTGCCTGAAGTACCGAATACGTGGGACGCAACAAGACGGGACAGAGCTGAACAGGAGGCGAAAGAAATGATGTTTAAGATCATGCCTATGCCAGAAAGTGAGGCAACAGTTTGAATCGATTCTTCTTTTTATAACACATTTTGCAGTTATTGTTTTTTTTAAAATCTTCATTATAGGTAAAAAAAAAAATTATAATAATAATGCATCATAAAGTCCAAGCCCCCCCCTCCCCCCAATTGTGTGCTACATGGTCCTATCTTCGGGCGCTCTCAATCCTTACTGGGTGGTCCAGGCATGAGCGTTGATGTAATCCTCCACATAAATTTCTGGTCTTTCCGCAAATCCTTCCAGACTTTGTCGGGCATTTTACCCATAGAGGCTGAGAAGAGTTTGAGGACGGATGAGGACTTTTGGGACAAGGCACTTGAAATGATAGACTTTTTCCGGTGTAGGTCTTACCCGGAGACAGTACTTTCATCAGCCCTCCAAAGGGTTAAGAATATTACACGCGCTGATGCCTTCAGACCACGTCTGAGCGACAATGTTGACAGGACTAAACTCATTTTAACTTATCACCCTCACAATCTGATTGCTAAACGTGTTTTCCTTAAACATCGATCTATACTACTCGCAGACACCGACACACGAGAAATTTTCTCTTCCCCACCTCTCATTGTTTTCAGACGGGATAAAAATCTGAGAGACCTGCTTGTACGCAGTCGTATCAATGCTCCCCCCTCCCACTTTGGGACCAAGCCGTGTGGACGCAGTCGTTGCAACACGTGCCCTTTTGTCGTCCAGACTGAACGCATACGTTTCCCCAAGGGCAGTTTTCAGATACGCGACGGTTTCCTCTGTACAAGCCGCAACGTTATCTACGCCATTGTCTGCACCCGCTGTCAGATGACATACATAGGGGAGACTGGACGCCGTCTCTCGGACAGGTGTACCGAACACCTCCGAAACATTACACAAGATAAACAGTGTCCCGTCTCCAAACACTTCAATAGTAGCGACCACCGGGGCAAGGCGGACTTTTCAATAAGTGCGATTGTGGCTAGCACTAACACCGCCAGCCGGGTCAATTTGGAACACAGACTTATCCTGACTTACGGCACTTTGACGCCAGATGGGATTAATGTTATGTCTCTGTTCACAGCTTGACCCTAGCTCCGCCCCTCCACGTTCTGACCTATCACAGTGAACTTTTTTCTCCCCCCTTTTTTTCGCCGCTGCTTATTTAAACTCTCACTCATTTTCCTTCTGCCACACTTCTATTGCTGCCCACAGATACTACTTACCAGCTAAGTGCTATTTCTTATTTTTATAACGTTTTTTCTGTTGTTTTGTTCGCTGACGAAGGCTTTCTGCCGACACGTTCGCTGTTTTGTTACGTTTAATTTTTCAGGTTTAACCATACTCTGTTTTACTCATTTTATTTTATACCTCATTGCCGGATGACTCAGGACACCCAGCAGAAACTGTCCAATAGGTCAAGCAAACGTGTTGGCCCCTGTTGTGGGGCCGTCCGGTTCAGGGGCCGTCCCTGCCAACTCCACTAAATACCATGATTGGCACCGCATCGCGTTCTTCAAACGTTGCATTAACTGCTCTGTGGCCTTCTTATTAGTCAACTATTTCTGAAATATTGTAAGCACGAAGACAATGGAAGCAAATGCTGTATCAGATATCAAGGTCCACACCTTTTGCATCTGCTATCTGCAATAGTCTCTGAGGAAGGCTCCAAGCCCGAAATGGTGTCCAGGATTTCCCAGACCCCAACAGCAGTAAAGAGGCTCAGGAAAATATAGAACGACATAAAATATAGCCCCCCCAGCACCAAAATCAAGCTGATGCGCTCGGTAGTCCTCTTCATTTACTTGTATGCCTGTGAGTCCTGGACATTAACAGCTGAACTTGAAAGGAAAATAAAGGCGATGAGATGTTAAAGAAGCATTCTTGGCATCTGGTATAGGGACCATGATCAAGTGAAAGAAAGGATTCGTCGGGCAATTAGGCAGTACGATGACTTCCTGGTGACTGTAAAAAAGCGCAAACTACAATAGTATGGCCACGTGACAAGGCAACAAGGGCTCTCCAAATAAATCATGCAGGGCACAGCGAGAGGAGGGAGAAGAAGAGGAAGACAGAGAACAAAAGATGGGAAGATAAAATCAAAGAGTGTACGAGACTCAAACTAGGCGATGCTGTGCGTAGTGCAGAAGACAGAGACAAATGGAGGAGGATAGTTCACATGTCCTCTTGTGACGCCCCAACGGTCCAATGACTAAGGGACATGATGATGATGATGATCTGCATAATATCCCTCCCTCGATTCTTCAAAGCAATTTTTACAGCACTGTAAGTGCCTGCGTTTTGTGTAATTGGATTTATATGGAAGTCTGAATTAGAAAACAACCGAATGTGATTTTATGATTTAGGCTGAACTCGAAATCAAACCGAACGTTAAAATGACTCTTTGCTGAAACCGAAGCCGAAACCAAAAGCTTCACGAGACTTTTGACAGGAACAGTAAGATTTAAACATTTTGAAACTCGTTCGCGCATAAATTCGGCGTACGTCGAAAGAATGATGGGGAAAGTATCAATATGTGTAGATACTTTTAATTTTTTAATAAAGGTGATTTTTAATAGATGAACATCTAATGAATATTTTGCCTTTTACCATTTTAATTAAAAAGTAATTAAAAAGTTGTTCAAATGTATTTTAAAGTAGTATGGTAAGAAAAAATTGTGACCGTGAAAAGGGGGGGGGGGCCAAATTCGTACGGATAGAGAACCCTTAGCTTTTATAATATAAGTAGAGAGCTACCTAGACAGATTTGCTATCGGTCGTATGTTTAGCCTATGCATTATTTATTGATATGGCCATGTAAAAGTTCTATAAACAACCCACGAAGGAACTCCTTATTCCGCTACACCATACAATTTCGTTAAAGCAAACATTCTTTATTAGTCGACATTTAACATGTTCGTTTGTCTGCAAGAATCATTTATGGGCTAATTTTTTAGATTTGAACCCGATGAAACAAAAGTTTCACGAAGGCTTTGTTCATTATTTTAATACGGCAGACCCACTACATAATTATTATACAAGAGAGTTATAAATGTGAACATTAGGTACATTGTGTTGTAATCGGTAACGAGTCTACGTGGCAAACTTCAGCTCGATAGTTTTACGGGAAGTGGGTCAATTAGCCGTCCGAGGATTTTTGCCCTCAACACACAAAAAACAAAAAGCGAGGTTAATATAAAGGATTACGCAAATTTTTTTGCCAGGGATCTAATTTAGATGTGTTATTTTTCACCTAAAAATGAGTCGTGGGAAGCCTGCTCATTTTCAGTATTAGCAGCTGGTGTGGGAATTCATCTTCTGCTATCAAACACCGAATAAACAGAAGAATCAAGAAAGATAGGAACCAAGACACAAACTAAACATTCTTTACTGGAAGAACTATTTGGAGAAAGATGTTTTTGTAAAACTAAACAAATTATGGATGATACATCCCACCCTTTTCACCAGATACTTAGGATCGGTCCTTTCGGGACGAATTCTTTCTGTCACGGCGATGACTGAGAGATATAAAAAAAAATTCCGTTGTTCCCCAATCTGTACAAATTGACCAGCGCGCTTACCAAGAAGTCACAAATCTAAATGAGAACTTAAAAGTCCCTGTTATGACTAAGCGAATTCACTGAATAGCAATGTTTTGTTTTTTTCCCAATAGTAAAATAACTTAACGTAGATGTCTTGTCTTTAAATTGTTTTAATTGGAAAATTTTTGAACTTTATTATGTGCTGAAAAATGTATATGTGCAATGCAATCAATAAAAACACATTTCGATTTGTTTGGCTCAATAAAAGAATATAATAATATCTTTAATGAATGTGGGAGTATAAATTAAAAACAATAGTTTGATGAACACTGTCTCCAACCTTCCCCCCCCCCACCAGAGAAAGAGAGTGAGAAGCAAGTCGTCTGGGTGGACGAGAACACCAATGCTGACGTTTGTTTGGCTTAATAAAAAAATATAATAATATCTTTAATGAATGTGGGAGTATAAAATAAAAACAATAGTTTGATGAACACTGTCCCCAACCTTCCCCCCCCCCCCCACAGAGAAAGAGAGTGAGAAGCAAGTCGTCTGGGTGGACGAGAACACCAATGCTGACGTAGCTGAGAGCGAACACAATGACCCCGATAAGGCGTTGTCAGGTATTTTTGTCAGATAGTTTTGTCATGTAAATTTGTCAGCTTCAATTGTCGTTTAAATGTGTCAGGTGTACAGGGTGGGCCAATAAAAGTGAGAACATCTCGTAGCGTAATGTTTTACAGAGATGTTCTCACTTTTATTGGCCCACCCAGTATTTTGTCAGTTATATTTGTCAGTTATTTTTGTCAGGTAAATTTTAGCAGGTATATGTGTCAGGTTTATTTGTCAAGTATATTTTTCAGGTGTCCATTACATGTCTCAGTTATATTTGCCAGTAATATTGGTCATGTATATTTGTCAAGTATATTTTTGCAGGTATAGCTGTCAGGTGTCCATTATATATGTCAGTTATATTTGCCAGTTATTTTATTCGGGTATATTTTTCAGGTATATTTTTCAGGTATATTTTTCAGGTATATTTGTCGAGTATATTTGTCGGTATAGTTGTCAGGAATACTTGTCAGGTATATTTTTTGCAGGTATTTTTGTTAGGTTCCATTATATGTGTCAGTTATATTTGCCAGCTATATTAGTCAGGTATATCTGTCAGGTATATTAGTCTGGTATACGTCAGGTATTTTTGTCGGGTATGTGTGTCAAGTATATTTGTCAAATATACTTATAGTTTCAATTTAAATTCATCGAGTGGTCAGAGAAGCTTGCGCCGCCCATGATTGCTCTGGCGTGTTTGATTTACGGCTTGCCAAAATAATGAGGATCTTTTATCACCAAAAAATACTTATTATTATCATTATAAATGGGTAATCGGAAAGTAAAAAAGTCCAGCTTTTCTTGAACGTTATCCTCAAAGCCTTTTTTTTTTAACGTCAGTCATGATCCTCGGCGTAACATTCAGAACCAGGAAATAAAGACAAGTTGTTGGCGCCATCCCACTCGGCAGAGTGTATGGCCCAGCGGTCAATTCATGGGTCTGGCCACCAGGTCAAAATGCCCGTCAACCAACCTGCAGGCTTACAATGCCGGACGGACCGGTTTCAGGGTCAGAGCAACGAATGACTGTGTTGTGGACAATGAAAATGTCGGACAATGTAAATGTCGCACAATGTAAATGTCGCACAATGTAATGTCGGACAATGTAAATGTCGGACAATGTAAATGTCGCACAATGTAAATGTCGCACAATGTACATGTTGGACAATGTAAATGTCGGACAATGTAAATGTCGCACAATGTAAATGTCGCACAATGTACATGTCGGACAATGTAAATGTCGGACAATGTAAATGTCGGACAATGTAAATGTCGCACAATGTAAATGTCGCACAATGTACATGTTGGACAATGTAAATGTCGCACTATGTAAATGTCGCACTATGTAAATCTCGCACAATGTAAATCTCGCACAATGTACATGTCCGACAATGTAAATGTCGGACAATGTAAATGTCGCACAATGTAAATGTCGGACAATGTAAATGTCGGACAATGTAAATGTCGGACAATGTAAATCTCGCACAATGTACATGTTGGACAATGTAAATGTCGGACAATGTAAATGTCGCACAATGTAAATGTCGCGCAAAGTAAATGCCGGACAATGTAAATGCCGGACAATGTAAATGTCAGACAATGTAAATGTCGCACAATGTAAATATCGGACAATGCAAACGTCGGACAATGTAAATGTCGGACAATGTAAATGTCGGACAATGTAAATGTCGGACAATGTAAATGTCGGACAATGTAAATGTCGGACAATGTAAGTGTCGGACAATGTAAATGTCGGACAATGTAAATGTCTGGCAATGTAAATGTCGGACAATGTAAATGTCGGACAATGTAAATGTCGCACAATGTAAATGTCACACAATGTACATGTCGGAAAATGTAAATGTCGGACATGTAAATGTCGGACAATGTAAATGTCGGACAATGTAAATGTCGGACAATGTAAATGTCTGGCAATGTAAATGTCGGGCAATGTAAATGTTGTAAATGTCGGGCAATGTAAATGTCGGACAATGTAAATGTCGGGCAATGTAAATGTCGGGCAATGTAAATGTCGGGCAATGTAAATGTCGGGCAATGTAAATGTCGGACAATGTAAATGTCGGACAATGTAAATGTCGGACAATGTAAATGTCGGACAATGTAAATGTCACACAATGTAAATGTCGGACAATTTAAATGTCCACAAGACCCTACGACGCCTCCCCCGGAATAAGCGTCAAGAGAAGAAGAAGGTATGTGACGTCATGGCAACGATGACCCCCCAAAGGTTTGGTCTATCTCGTCCATTACTTTTGTTGTTGTTGTTGTTTTAAACTGTCCGTCAACGAAACGTTGCAGGTGAAGCTGAGAGCGTGGAGGAGGGTGAGGGGCAAGAAGGAGAGGAAGATGAGGAAGAAGGCTCGATCCCAGAAGAGGACTGGCCAGGAGGGATGCGACCCGGCACCATGCTGGAAGGAGACGAGCCTGATGACTGTACGGACTTCTACTTCATCAGCAGAGGATGGGGGCTTTATTTGGAGGTGAGATATCAGCAGCGGGATTTGGGGGGGGGGGGCTGTATTAGGAAGTAACCCATCAGCAAGGGGGACTGGGGGCCGTATTGGGGGTAAAACATCAGCATGAGGAGGAGAGGGGCTGTATACAGAGGTAAGACTCCAGGGGATCGGGGACTGTATACAGAGGCAAGACGGGAGGGGATCGGGGGCTGTATACAGAGGTAAGACTGTAGGGGATCGGGGGCTGTATACAGAGGTAAGGTTGTAGGGGATCGGGGGCTGTATACAGAGGTAAGACTTAAGGAATTTGGGGCTGTATATAGAGGTAAGACTGCAGGGGATTGGGGGCTGTATACAGAGGTAAGACTGTACGGGATTGGGGCTGTATACAGAGGTAAGACAGCAGGGGATCGGGGAATGTATTAGGAAACAAGCCATCAGCAGGGGAGTTGGGCTGTATTTGGAGGTGAGACATGAGCAGGGGATTGGGGCATTCTTTGGTGACTTTCTGTTTTAGACGTGGGAAAATTCTGGTTCAGGTAGATGTGGGTTTTAGGAGACAACGTTGGACAAATTCATTACAATTTGTGTAGCGTCTTCTTTGCTTTCTCAACTGCCAATTTGAGTATTCTTTAATTAAAGGAACTTAACGGTACCAGTTATCTCTTATTTTTATAGAAGAACAAAAATTTAAAGGAACGAACTATTACATGAAAAGTTGATTGAAGAATCAGTCTCTATAGGACTGCCATCAGAATTTATTGAACTAGGACACAGGCGTTAAATGTATGGGGGGCGGGGAGGGGGGGGGGTTCTGTCCAAAAATTATTTTAATAAGAAACTAAGATACTTTAGGTTGAGCGGCTTAATTTTTTTTTTTAAAACATCTATTTACTTTCTTTTAACACTCGCTCAGGGCCTCCCTGTTTGTCCTCTGAGCAAACTGATGGACCCGGCCAGCTATGAGAAGAACCTGATCCTCTGTTCCACTCCATTCTATCGCATCTACCACACTTCGAATAAGCACCCTACCGCCATGTGCACTGTACAAATTCCAAAGACGCAGGACTTTGTCCGGCATGGGACTGTCCTTGTATTTATGAGGTAGGCCATGGGACTGTCCTTGTATTTATGAGGTAGGCCATGGGACTGTCCTTGTATTTATGAGGTAGGCCATGGGACTGTCCTTGTATTTATGAGGAAGGCCATATGACTGTCCTTGCATCTATGAGGTACGCCCTGTCTAACTGAATTTGTATTTATGTGGTAAGCCATGGAACTGTCTATATATTTATGTGGTAAGCCATGGAACTGTCTATATATTTATGTGGTAAGCCATATCGAACTGTCCTTGTATCTATGAGGTTAGCACGTGATGTTGCAGTTAGAGTGACATCTTCACCGGCTTGGTCAGCTTTAATATGTGCAACGATATGTGCAACAATCAGTGGAGTAAGGAGTACAACAATCTTTTATATTTAAATTTAGGATGTTTCAATCAGTGTTTCCCAAAATGTAAATGAACAGGCCCCAATGGAACCTTAAGTAGGTTTAAACCGATGCCCACCAGAGCCATCCATCCTTAAAGGAAGAGTTTAAAAAGAGAGATCTCCAAGCTGCCGTTAAGAAGATTAAGTTACACCGTTTAGGCCTTAAGGTTAAATTAGGCCTTAAGGTTAAATTAGGCCTTAAAGTTAAATTACACCCAGTGACTGTTTAGCCCTTAAGGTTAAATTAGGCCTTAAGGTTAAATTACAACTGCGCAGTGTTTAGGACCTAATTTGTAGGTTCAAACTTGAAATGGGTTATTACCAACAAAACAATTGAAAACTTTTTTTTAAAGTGGCTCCTGTACACCATTCCTTCCCTGCCTACCTATTTCCTCCACAAATTCCCGTTGTTTTATTTTTTATTTTTTTTGGAACATACAAAAATGTACTACCTCAGAGACTGAATGTCCCAACGCAGTCTATCTTCAAATTTACCCTCCCACCCCCACCCCGGTAGGCCTGATGCTCAATTTGATATATGACAACATTACATTGATATTGGCAACATTACATTTGATATATGACAGTACTACGTTTGATATATGACAACACTACGTTTCATATATGGCACCACTACACTTGATATATGACAGCACTACATTTGATATATGACAACACTACATTTGATATATGACAGCACTACATTTGATATATGACAACACTACATTTGATATATGACAACACTGCACTTGATATATGACAACACTACGTTTGATATATGACAGCACTACGTTTGATATATGACAGCACTACGTTTGATATATGACAGCATTACATTTGATATGGACAACACTGCATGACAACACAACATTTGATATATGACAGCACTACGTTTGATATATGACAGCATTACATTTGATATGGACAACACTGCATGACAACACAACATTTGATATATGACAGCACTACATTTGATATATGACATCACTACATTTGATATATGACAACACTACGTTTGATATATGACAACACTACGTTTGATATATGACAACACTACGTTTGATATATGACAAGAGTACATTTGATATATGACAGCACTACATTTGATATATGACAACACTGCATTTGATATATGACAACACTACGTTTGATATATGACATTATATTTGATATATGACAACACCTAGCGGCTAAACAAACTAATTTTGTTTCACTTTGGTTTGAACGATGGACTTTGGAAGCTTTTTCTTATCTTTTTAGCATCTTATACTCGCGCAATTTACTACTTGCAAATGTCACGTGACATCTGTGGCGACATGATTTTTATGGATGCTGTTAATATATAGAGATCAAAGTTCTCAATGGATTGTTCCCTGAGTCTAAAGAGATGGTATGACGTGATTCTCTTTTCTGTGTCCTGTTGTCCAGGAGAGATATCGGGCCTGACGAGATTGAATTTCCCGACCCCGACGATGCCCCAGAGGAACACTTCCTGTCTCAGGATGGCAAGAACACTTGGTAGGCTGAGAATGTACGCTTTGATTCCCCGCAGCGGGGCTATCTCTTCGTTGAATGCAGAGCCATTTTTAGGAGTTTGGGTGCTCTAAGCATGCAGCGTCGGTTGGGGGCCCCGGAAGGGAAGGGTTCCGGGGTGGAGCTCCCTCGAGCTGAGGAGAAAACACCACCCACCATTGCGGCACCTCCATTCTACCTTCATCAATGTTTCCTCTTTCCCATTCCCTCGGCCAAGCCCCCGATTTCCTGTCTGCCACCCCCAAAGCTCCCTCCTGCTGCTTCCCTTCCCCTGCCTTCGAATTCAACTCAGAATGATAAATTTCAGGATGAGGAAGGTAACGTGAGTGACACAGACGGCTGCAGTGCCAGTTTTAAAAAAACGGGGGGATCGAGGGCGCCTCAAGGGCCACCCTCCCCCCCCCGCCCCACGTTCGGGGCCCTATGCGGATGCGTAGTCAGCGTATGCCTAAGAACGGGCCTGTTGAATGTATAAAGCGGGGCTTTCCGAACCGTGCCAATGTGCCGTTATTTGTTGGAGATGTTGTGCGAATGGGATTACTTGCCTGCACATAATAGCCGGATAGAGCAATGTGTATGTCTTCAGGACTATAAAAATGTGTGTGTGTCTTCAGGATTATACCAATTTGTTTGTGTCTACAACACTTTACGAATTTGTGTGTGTCTTCTGGGCGATACCAATTTGTGTATGTCTTTAGGACTATACCAATTAGTGTGTGTATTCAGGACTATACCAATGTGTGTGTGTCTTCACGACTATACTAATTGTGTGTGTCTTCAGGACTATGCCAATTTGTGTGTGTCTTTAGGACTATACCAATTTGTGTGTGTTTTCAGGGATAGAAAAATGGGTGTACTTCTTCTGGGATGGAACAATGTTTGTATGTGTTCATGGACAAAACAATGTGTGTTTGTCTTCTGGGATAGAACAATGTGTGTATGTCTATTGGGGTAGACAATGTGTGTATGTCTATTGGGGTAGACAATGTGTGTAGGTCTATTGGGGTAGACAATGTGTGTCTGTCTTTGTGTATAGAATATTTATTTAAGAGTTTTTCTGTACGAACTCATGGCATTGGTCTTACCCGATTGATTTACTAATGCACCTTGTCTTTCCTGAGTGATTTACTAATACACCATTTTGGGAATTTTCGCGAGCAAAATAAGAGAGTGTTTAACGCAGCTTTCCTACCTTGCGGGAAAGCTTTTCACGCGACGTTTCGTTCATTTCTGCCGGCAAAGCCAACAAAACACATACATCTTTTACACTCTTTGGCATTTGTTGTTACTTAAATTCCCAAATTCATCCGCCAAACCTTATTGCATTTTCTCTATAGGGGCACCTTCTGGACCATCAAGGAGAGAGAACGCTGGTCACTTCTGCCCTCTGGCATAGTCAACAAAATATCAAGAGTTATCTTTGAGACCAACAAGCTGACCACGTAAAGTTCCTTCCCTCTCTCAGTTCTGTGTAGAGACTTTTAAGGCGTGCAGTGTCAACTAGTTGCCATTTTCGTGTGAACCTTCCTTAAATTTTAGAATCTTAATTTAATAGTATTTAATTTTTTTATAGTAGGATCAGGCCTTATGCAAGTATGGGCCACGGAATGGCTCTCATTATAGCCAAAAGCTTCCTAATCGTTTGTTTTTTTCCTTACCGTGTGTCCCACTGATCCAGATACGTGATTGTTCAGCTGACTATAGGCAACCAGAAAGCGGAATATGAGGACGCGAACCTCAGCAGCTCAGAGAGTGAGGAGGACGAAATCGGGCTCGCGGAGGATGCGGCGGAGGGGAGCGAGAGAGTCAGCCCGGCCGGCGAGGCCTCCGACGGAGAAGACGAGGCGTCCACGAGGAAGAAAAAGAAAAAGAAAGACAAGGTCCACATGGTGATCAAGCTCCCGGACAGCGACGATGACTCGACGCCAGAGGAAGGGGCGGAGGACGAGCCCGCGTGAGTTGGACGTTATTTTTAAAACGTTACCTTAAGATGGTTTTGGTGTGGTGGCAAGAACTAAGTTCATTTTTTTGTATTCTCTGAAGTGGTGAGGACAGAATCATGAGCAGAAGAAGGTAATGAGTTTTTGGTTATGAGTACTTAGCTTTACATGATGCACTCGTAGCGTAGTTAGGAGAGTGTGGGAGGGGGGCAAATCCACCAGAGGAGATTGAATGCCCCAGTGTCAGAAATTGAAAGAACTCGATGCAAATTTTTGGTTGCCCTGGTGTGCCGGTGCCTGGTGAAGGGATAAACTGCTTCCGCGCCATTGTGGTCTTCCATTGGTTTACCTAGTTACGTTGAAGTGACACGGTACGAGAGAGCAGATACCCTGGCGCGAGACGGTGAAGCCCGGTCGCAAACAGACCAGCCGATGGCCCGAAGGGGAGTCGAAGCCTGGCTCAAAGAGAAGCTGAATGGCTGGACGTTAGGTGATGCAGCTCGAAAGCTCTGGCGAAACGTGTCGTGGCCGGGTGAGAGTGGCCGGGTGAGAGCGATCCCTGCAGGGCATTTGCCCTCCCCCCCCCCGCGAATTCGCTGGTTTTGTTTAAATGTCTATGTACTGTGGCGCCTCCAGTAATAAACAACTTATCAAGTCGACCAAGTTTTGGTTGGCCCCCCCACCCCCTGAAAAACCTGAAATGATGCCCCTGGAACCCTGGTGGAAACCGTCTCGAAGTGAACAAAGCTTTATCGCGCTGATTTGAACCAAGCACTGCCCTACACGAAGCTACCTGCATAGGACTAGAAGTATGTTATGTAGCTATCACAACTGCCGACTTTGACTTTGTAAGCTGGCCTCTGAAACAGAGCATGTAACTGCAGAGTGCCCCAATACCGAGATGTTTTTTTCAGGTCAAACCTGGAAGCCTGTGTGGACCGTTTAATTTATGGCCGACTGTGAGTTTGGGCCTCTTGATGAGGCTCGCCTGTGGGGCACTTGCCAGGCCTGAGTGAGTTTAGGGTCACACTTACGCGAGAATCAATCATGTGTAGCAAGTGTCTCTGTAAAAATGAATTGTAAGCGTAAGCCAGGCTCTGCTCTATTTGACGAAGGCGCAACTGCCCCCAATGATTGACACGTGAATGTGAAGTGAGCGACACCGATTGACACTGAATGACACGTGAATGTCAAGTGAGCGACACCTGATTGACACTGAATGACATCCGAATGTCAAGTGAGCGAAACCTGATTGACATTGAATGACACGCGAATAGCAAGTGAGTGACTCCTGATTGACACTGAATGACACGCAAATCTCAAGTGGGTGACACCTTATTGACACTAAATGACACGCGAATGTCAAGTGAGCGACACCTGATTGACACTGAATAACACCCGAATGCCAAGTGAGCGACACCTGATTGAGACTGAATTGCACGCGAATGTCAAGTGAGCGACACTTTATTGACACTGAATGACACGCGAATGTCAAGTGAGCGACACTTTGACACTGAATGACATGCGAATGATAAGTGATTGCTTCCCAGAACGGTGTTTCTATTCCATCAACTGCTTTTCATTTTATTGCCATGTCATTTATGTGCTACGTGCTTGTTGACATGGAAACGACGGTTTCAGTGACACTGACCGGGGGGGGCGGGGGAATACCCCCCCCCCAATATATAGTGTCATAAAACCTTTGGTATCTTTCTTTCATTTAAAATGATTATTTCAAAATCATAAACAAACAATCGACTTTATTTACATATTTTTTGTTTATTTCTTTATAAATATATATATATATATTTATATATATATATATATATAGAGAGAGAGAGAGAGAGAGAGATAGATTTATATTTATTTATTCATTTATTTATATATATATATAATTATATATTTGTAGCGCTTCACTCCACAACAGAGCAAGACATTGGACAACTAAAAAACAAACTTTTTTTTTAAATACTTTTTAATGGTTTTCTATGAAAAGTGATCACATGCCAAGTTAGGCCCTACAATCTTGTAGGTTGAATTTCTTAAACAGGCGTCTTAAGTTTGAAATTTTGACGTTGGCAGTGCAGATGCCTTCAGGGGGGTGGAAAAAAAAGAGGGGCGTTCACGAGTTCTTCCTCTTTCAACAGACCCACTCAAGAGCATGAGCCGCTGAGGTTGAGTACTGACATACCTGGGACTGTGAGGCCGTCATTTACCCTTGAAGAGGAAGGGTCGATGCATGATACTCTCGCCCCCATGAGTCCAGCTGTAAGAAACGTGTATTTTTATTGTAACTTTTTTTTTTTTTTTTTTTTTGCCGTTAGGGGAGAAACCCCATAGAAATCCCGCGGTGTGGCATACTCTACCCAAAGTCACCCCGAGACACCAGTTGTGAGAACTGAGTACCGTAGTTTTATAGTTGCCGAGAGTGTTGGAGGTGGGGGACCCAAGGAAGGTGGCCAAGTGGGAATAGACTCACAAATGTCCCCGGTGGCTTCAGTTGTAACGAGTGAGTACCTTTAGTTTTTTAGTACCGAGCGCGCTGAAGTGAGGGGCCCACGACAAAATTTGCCCAGGGAATAGGCCCGCCAAAGAAACCTTTTAACATGAGAGAGAAATTTTCAAATTCTTGTGATTTTTTTACTCAGACGTTAAATATAGATCATCAAATTTAATGAATCATTGTTGATTGTTTTTTAAGAATATTTTTTCACGTCTACGAGGTCCCTTGTTGTTGCTCCCTGAGAAAAAAACCTACATAATCAATGGATTTCATCATTTAGTTACATGGTTTGAACATTTGAAATAGTTACTGGGGAAAATTTTATTTGGAATGAATAAATCCTATATTTTACTTTAAGATGGGTACTAAGAGTAACGTGTGAAAAGTTTGACTTTGTCCAGGTTGTGTCAAACCCATTAATAGATATGAACAAACGTTCACCTGCCCTGCCCCCCACCCCCACAAACCTCCCACACCAAAACCACAATCCCCTGAAACCCTTACCCCAACCCCACCCATCAAACCCCCACCCCGAACGCTATATAATTTTTTTTTTTTAAATATAAATATACGTGCTTGATACATTGAACCGTGTTCTATCACCATCAGCTTTTCATTTCATAGTCATCTCAATTATTTTAGAGGTGCTTGCTTTCAGTGACACTGGGGGGGGGGGGAAATAACATCCCCCCCCCGGGACCGCGCGCATGCGCTATAAGAATGGAATGACCTGGAAAAAGAAGGTACACTAAAACCCTTACACGTAACCTTTGACCTAAATTGTTTCAGCTTTATTTCATAGTCATCTCAATTATTTTAGAGGTGCTTGCTTTCAGTGACACTGGGGGGGGGGGGGAAATAACATCCCCCACCCGGGACCGCGCGCATGCGCTATAAGAATGGAATGACCTGGAAAAAGAAGGTACACTATAACCCTTACACGTAACCTTTGACCTTAATTGTTTCAGCTTCAGCAAAATCTCTCGAAACGTGCGTCGGGCGCCTCTTCAAACCTGGCGGTGTCGAAATCCAAAAGGTCAGCCAATTTGTAAGGCCATTGATACGTTAGGCCATTGATATGTTAGGCCATTGATAAGTTAGACCATTCATATATTAGATCATTCTGTTAGGTCATTCTTATGTTAGGTCATTCTTATGTCAGGCCATTCTTATGTCAGGCACCCATTTCCTGTTGCAGTTCTACTAAGATGAAAGCCTTGATTTATATCGTGCGTTGATGTTGGACTAATTTTCTTTTTCAATTAACACAACGGTAAGACAGGTTCGTCTGGCTGAGCTGACATTGTGTAAACTATCCTTAAATAATCTTTCCGAACCTTTTTTTCACCATGTCTCACCAGCGTCGCCAGAAAGCCCGATGGTCGTAGCCCGTCGATGGGCAGCAGCACAAATTTAGCCAACAACAACAACAACAGGAACCAGAGCAGGTTGGTCAACAAGAACTACAACGCCGAGGAGAGCAGCAGCAGCTTCGACGAGGACGAGACCAGGCTCAAACCCGAGCAGAGGACTGTCGTTGTTGTAAGTGGTGGCGAGCTGACGTTGTTGTGAGTGGTGGCGAGCTGACGTTGTTGTAAGTGGTGGCGAGCTGACGTTGTAAGTGGTGGCGAGCTGACGTTGTTGTAAGTGGTGGCGAGCTGACGTTGTTGTAAGTGGTGGCGAGCTGACGTTGTTGTAAGTGGTGGCGAGCTGTCATTGTTATAAGTGGTGGCGAGCTGACNTGTAGGTGGTGGCGTGCTGACGTTGTTGTAAGTGTTGGCGAGCTGACGTTGTTGTAAGTGGTGGCGAGCTGACGTTGTTGTAAGTGGTGGCGAGCTGTCGTTGTTGTAAGTGGTGGCGAGCTGACGTTGTTGTAAGTGGTGGCGAGCTGTCATTGTTGTAAGTGGTGGCGAGCTGTCATTGTTGTAAGTGTGCAAGTTTTATTTTATTCACCAGAAAAAACTTCCTACACGTAATAGCTTGCCATGAAATAGATTTTTATTTGTGTAAATACGGTAAGTGGTAGTGGAGGCGTCACCAGTTTGTAAACTGTAACACGTAGAATAATTGGTTTTTGAATGAATTGTGTTTTATAGTAGATTTAAGAAACCTCTATTGTGTTATGTGTTAGCTTTATTGTATATAGCACAGACCTAACCCCCTTCTCCTGCACACACACACACACACACACACACACAATGCAGACGGTGACATTGGATTTGGTCCATCTCTCTGTGTAGACATCATTCTTTTTAAAGTAAAGTAAATAAAAGAATTGTGATTTTAGGGGCCAAACAAAATGCACGTCATGCTCCAGGGAGTGGGGGCACAGGGAGTGGGGGGCAGAGGCGTAGCGAGGGGGGGGCAGGGGCGACAGATGTTTCCGGGCGCCAGCTAGTTAGGGGCGCCAAAATGTGCTTTGATATTATTTTATTGATGGAAATAATGGGTTTGAGGGTTGAAAAATAGAAAAAGGGGCGCTTTAAAATGGATCTTTTCCCCGGGCGCGAATCTTGTCCCCGGGCGTTAAACACCCTCGCTACGCCTCTTGTGGGCGAGGGGGGGTGTCTAAGTAAGTTTGGCAGTTTGTGACGCTGAAGGAGGGGGGTTAAGATATTTTGTGACGTCAACGCAGTTTTTTTTTAAATTCTAAATTATATAAAAACCTGAAATTGACAGTGACGTTTAACGTCTGATGTGATAGGTGAACTCTGACAGAAGAATCCGCGTCTACACTTCTATAAATGTAATAGTTTAATAGGTACCTGCAAGTGATTTTTTTTTTTAGATTAAACGTTAATTTGTTGTAGATTTTTTAAAAACAATTTTTAATTCGAAAGCGTGACGTACTCAAAAGTAGGAAAAAAAAAAGGGGGGGGGGGAGGTCTGAGATTTATGACAGATTATGAAAGGGGGAGGGGGTGAGTAAGAATTGTCAAAGAAATAGCGTGACGTACTTTATGGACGGGCCCCCATTTTGACTTGTTTGTGTGACTGCCATTGCAAATCACGGGCGAATGGGTTCATCACAGAATTGCATGGAACGCGAATAAATATTACAAATAAAATTTTCAAATTGATTGGGTGAACTTAAAAGTATCACAACCCTATAATAAGAGGCCGCCCCAATTTCAGTTTTGGTTTCAGCGCCCAAAGCTGCCATTTGATCACTTTAGTCGCAGTTTCGGTTTCGGTCGCAAGACAAACACATAAAACCAGCTTAAATAGAAACAGAGCTTTAAAGGGGGGGAGCTAACCTACAGAACCTTTTATAACTCCCTCAGGCATTACCTCCCATTCCGAGCAGTTACTACGCCCTTTCCGGCATGGAGGCTCTGAGGAGACCCAAGAGGGTAGAGCCACGCCAGCAGGAGGAGCTGCTCGAGGAGATCATGGACGAAGCGCTGCCACCTGTCGAGGAGGTGGAGGACAAAGGAGGGGAGGAGGTTGGAGAGGGGGAGAACGAAGAGGTCGAGCCGGAAGAGAAAGAGAGCGAGGAAGTGATCCCGTATCGCTCCGAGCGGCACTTCTCCATTGCGTCCATTCAAAACGGTAAGGGTCACCTAAACGACGGTAAGGGTCATCTAAACACCGGTAAGGGTCATCTAAATAACGGTAAGGGTCACCTTTACACCGGTAAGGGTCACCTTTACACCGGTAAGGGTCATCTAAACAACGGTAAGGGTCACCTAAACAAAGGTAAGGGTCATCTAAATAACGGTAAGGGTCACCTTTACACCGGTAAAGGTCACCTAAACAACGGTCAGGGTCACCTAAACAACGGTCAGGGTCACCTAAACAACGGTCAGGGTCACCTAAACAACGGTCAGGGTCACCTAAACAAAGGTAAGGGTCACCTAAACAACGGTAAGGGTCACCTAAACAAAGGTAAGGGTCATCTAAACAACGGTAAGGGTCATCTTTACACCGGTAAGGGTCATCTAAACAAAGGTAAGGGTCACCTTTACACCGGTAAGGGTCATCTAAACAACGGTAATGGTCACCTTTACACCGGTAAGGGTCATCTAAACAACGGTAAGGGTCACCTTTACATCGGTAAGGGTCATCTAAACAAAGGTAAGGGTCACCTTTACACCGGTAAGGGTCATCTAAACAACGGTAAGGGTCACCTTTACACCGGTAAGGGTCATCTAAACAACGGTAAGGGTCACCTTTACACCGGTAAGGGTCATCTAAACAACGGTAAGGGTCACCTTTACACCGGTAAGGGTCATCTAAACAACGGTAAGGGTCACCTTTACACCGGTAAGGGTCATCTAAACAACGGTAAGGGTCACCTT